TTATAACTATGGGTATTATAAAGATATAAAAACAACAATAAGTGTATACAGTTCTTTGGTTCTCGAGAKAKWTTAAAAGCTTGAATTGTGTCACGCAACGCCGTCACGGACCTATGTAAACCATTACAATCCTAAATGTTTCTCAAACTATGTAKCTTTCCATGCCGTAAAAGGATACGAATGTCATATTTTAATGCAAGTAAAATATAAATTGTTATGACGTAAGTGAAATTCAAAAACGATTTCTATCWGTCGTCTATTTTCTGACCAGTTGTGTTTATTTTTTTCAGGTATCGCGAAAGATTGGCGAACTATACAGCGAGATGATATTTGTAACTGGTTATGTCCACTGCGATCCACATCCTGGTAATGTTCTTGTACGTAAAGACAATCAAGACAACGTAGAAATAGTATTATTGGACCATGGGCTATATCAGGTACGTATATCTGCTATCTTAAAGTACGTTGAATGTACGCTAAGGCCTGGGTTAAACGTCGTACTTCATTGAGTTGAAGTTTTTCTGAAAATAACTGCATATGTGTTAGCGATGCAGAATTTCTCTAAATGACTGTATTGAAATTATACATGTATTCCAAATATTGATCGMTTTATCTGTTCTCGACAGCAACTAAGTGATGAGTTTCGTGTCCAGTACTGTCAGCTATGGCAGTGTCTTATTGCRTCGGATATCGAGGGAATTAAACAYTAYAGTACCGAGATGGGTGTTGGCGATCTATACGGATTGTTTGCCTGCGTGTTGACGTCACGAGCTTGGAGCGTGGTGACTTCTGGGATTGATCAAGGTCCCGTCACCGAAAAAGAGGTAAAATTTGTTGATGCAGATGAGGTCATTCTACAAGAATGTTCTGCGTATTTTTAGAACTATTCAGGTTTATTCCATCTGGGGATTATTGACTCAATAGTTTAGTTTCACGATCTCTTTCACGCTGTGTTAGCCTAAATTATGTGCTGAAATATTCAGATATTTAGATAAAACTCGTGAGATTTCAARCTGATTCGCTGCGCTCACTCGTGAGAGATCTTTTCAATACTGGAAGATAAAATCCATTCCTCCGCGCGCCCACGTAATATCCTCTATATATTACATGGTTTTGAGGCTAATACAGCGTAAAAGAGATCGCTAAAAGGACTTATTAGCGCTAATGGTGTTGACACCAGAGTGATCGCACTTAAACCGTTCAAATATCTGTACAACTAAATAGTGCAAATTAGTTGTGTTTAGTATTAAAATCGTGCATGCGGTACGCAAATTAATATTGAATTGATACAAATGAAGCATTCAATACCGTCTTGCTTCAGGTCCACTTTTAGTGCAAATTAGTACTAGTTAGATTTTGTACAGTTGCACGGTTTGAGTGCAAACAATCTAGAATGCAGACACTGAAACGTAGTGAAAAAGTACTAGCTAAAATGTGCAATTTAGTGTAGATTAGACGATAGAAAACAAAGAAGTTAGCTTACGTCATTCAGTAATTGCACTTTTTAATTGCTAAAGTTTTTCATGGTTATAGCGTTTAATACCTTGACCACGTGATTTGACACTTACGGGGATTTTTGGTACGCTGGAAGGGAAATTTAAATGTAGCTTTTTCACTACTTTACTATGTTGCTTCAAAGCTTTTCTTCGTTCTTTCCCTAGCACAAACTGTAGGTAGAGTGAGGTCAATATAACCGTGAAACGAAATTCATAWGTTGACTATTAAAGTGTGATAGTGAACAAGACACAAAAGAAAATAATGTAATTAGAGCGAGTTTTTTTTACTTCACTCTACCTTAAATGAAATATTATAACAACAAGAATAATTGTATGAGGAAGTAGCTGATCCCRTTAAAGAGTGCTCAATACACATAAAGTGTAGAGCTAGTTATATATATAATATCAAAGAGGCAAGATTTCGGAGTTACAGCAAAATCTTGCCTCTTTGATATTATATATATAACAACAAGAATAAAAAGCACGACAGTTTTTTGCCTTTGGTAAAGACGACCAAGAGTAACGTTAGTTTTTCTCTATCATTTCTTAAAGGCTGAAGAAATCCGCCATGGCGTTACAACATATATATCTCAAATCTCCGACCTTCTAGAAAGRGTCCCTAGACAGCTTCTTTTAATCCTCAAAACAAATGATCTTCTAAGGAGTATAGACTATCAGCTTAAAACAAGTGCAGCAGCCAAGTCCTTCGTTACCATGTCAAGATGTTGCATACGAGCCGTCACTAAGCAACAGCTGGAGAAATGTCGCACTTGGAAATGCTGGTTCACAGCGCATGCGTTGTCCATTTTAGGACACTTTCGAATTAGTTTGTATCAATTATACGTGTCGGGTTTTGCTCGGAAAATACGAAATTTGCTTTATGTTTTTAGACTTACGAGCTAAGACAATGATTTAGATTATTAGTGTTAATAATTAGGATTTTAAGCCGATTTCAGTGCGAATGAACAAGTGAAAAAGATCTAAGAATAATTTGATGGATGTTTTTATCCAGCATGCTTAGCGGCATGGTCAATATGGACGGCATAAAGATGCCAAGATTTTTCTTTTTTGGAAAAATAATTAAATCAAGCATATTTCAAGTCTTACATAAAAAAAATGTGAAAAATCGTTTCTCATGCCATGAGTCATGTTAATGTACTGTTTGAAGTGGTCAGCATGATTATGGCAAATAACAGCATTTTTCCTCATCGTACTCAACTTACTTGATGACGTTTATACAGGGTCATTGATGCTTTCATGTTTTAAACCGACTCCTCGTTTACGCTCTTAATGAGCAATTAACAGCGTTTAAAGTCAAGAGCTCGCACTTGAGCAACAAAGACGATTAAAAAGACAATATTTTTTGTTGTCAAAGAGATATGTTTGTTTATCGTATCAGAGGCCGACTATTTTATAATGGAGTACTCCGTACTCTAGTGCTGTCACAATGAAAAATTATTCCCATTTCACTTTATTTTTTTTACAATTATTTTCTTTCTTCTAGAAACCTGATTATTCTCAATTTATTAAAGTTCGTAAATATTCCTTATTCTATGTTATCTTTTTCCTAAGATATTCCGTATTCCACAATATTCTCTCGCGGTGTTAGGGATTCCACTTCAACCTCCAACCTCTTGATTTTCAAAAAACTCGCGTAGCCTCAGAGTGTATTAACTGAGGAAAGATGGAACGGTATGGTGTACCGAAACCATGACGAGCAGATATAGAAGGGGCGGGCAAAAACATCTAGATAAATACAGAGAAATATAGTAGATTCAAGTGTATTTTGTATTTTACCATTTAAAAAAAACACTACTTGTCGCTGATTTATGGCTTTCTCTTCTCGGCTAGTCTCGTAGTCACTTTGACTACGTAGTCCACTCCATTTTGTGAATAATAGCACTTAAAGTGAGTGTTTTTAAATTGCCATCACTTATTTACTGCTATTTTTGTTTAACTTGCACCTCCTTGAAGTCGTCATAACGATTACAGTGTACGTAGGTACCACGCAAACTGTAGAATTGATACTGCGCCWTTTGAGCGTGATGAATTCTCAAGGACCGCACGCGACGTGTCTTATTTATCTACAGTAGACGCTGACCAAGCATTTTGCAGGAAAAATCACAAGGCATGATTTTTGGCGATCTTGTTCTAATCGCTTTTCTCTTTGGTCTGGGAAAATGACCTTGAAACCCGTGAAACAAAGTGTATTGACCGAATAAAAACATGCAATCAATGGTTTCTTGACTGGGAAGCTACCCACAATTCACATGTACATATTTAACAAATTGTGCAGGGTTTTGAGTTGGATGTCCTCTTATTGACACACTCTTGACGTCATAAAATGTTCAAAACTCAAGTGGACCCACGAGCGCAGCGTATTTTATTTATACAACGGAAAACCGTGTTCAATTATTTTTTTTACCACATTTTTAGTCTAAAATCATTCTTTTCTTTCAATTGAGCGCGCGCGAGAGACGTGATGGTGTCACTGTAAGCACAGTTTGCATGTCCTCTATGATCAGCCAATCAGCGCGCGAGAATTTACACAAGTGCGCTAAAAATGGTTATTGTTGCAYATTGTACACATTTGTGTTGTTGTCGTAGTCCAGTGGAACTTAGCCGAATAACAACTTCAATGTGATACAAATAATACAAGTAATTGAGACACCATGATTAATCTTAAGTTACAAATCGACGTGACCAAAGAGTACCTGCACACTTGAACAAGCCCCTCCTATCACGATAACCTAAAGATAAGGAAATTCTTGTCTCGCATAGCAACCTGGCTTCCGTTCGTCATGGCAACCATGTACTATAAAGTGAGGTTGAAACACTTTATTGCACGGAATCAGTCGGGCTCGGACTTAAACGGATTGAAGAGTAAGTTTCACAACTACCATAATGTTTTTTATAATAGTTCTATGTAATTATTTATGTATCTTCGAGAAACGTTGCATAAGCCTTTCCGTCTCTTAATGGTTATTTTTTAAATCAAAGCAGCTAACTATTTAATGTTTGTAGAATGTTGGATCAACTTTTCTTTTTGATAGATCTATGATTTTTGGCTTCTTAATTTTGTTTTCTTTCTTACTAACATACTTGGACTATTGCAAATCCTACATTCTGATTGGCTACGCTACTAGGAACGTACTGATTTTTAATAGTCCTCGACTAGTGAAAAAACGCCAATTTGGATTTGCTCTTAGACATATTGTGGGTAAAAAGGACCATTTGAAGTTTTTTCTCTCAAACCAGCTTGATTTTTACTTAAATTTGGTAAAATTACTGCGATCACTAGGAAAATTGTGCGCTCAATTTCAAAAGAAAGTTTGGAGTCTTGGAGTATAATAAAGATGTCATGAAACTKAAGGCGTGGATAGCTTACGATCATCGTGGGGAACGAGATCTAAAAGACATAAAAGATTATTTCGTATTAACTGTCTTTTTTTTTTCTTTGCAGTGATTGGATACGCCCTATCTGTTGTCGTCGCTTGTGCCCTTGTCGCTCCTCAAGTCTTGTGCTGTAAGTTTCCTTTACAAATGTGTTCAGTGCACAGAGGCAGTGTAAAGCGCCGTTTGCGCTTGCGATTTTTGCAACGAATCGCTACTTCTTTCTCGCGCAACTAAAATCGTACGTGTAAACATAGGCCACCCAACTATTGCTTTAGAGAAAGAAAAGAATGAATGCGCAACCAACAGTTTGCGCAACCTCGTTCCCAGGCCGGGCTACTCATTTTGAAAAAAGCGAGCAGAGTAGCCCTGAGGACGAGGTTGGTAAAAGCGTGCACATTCGTTCTTTTCCTTCTCTCAAGCAATAGTTGGGCGTCAATTGACGTCGTTCGTCAATTGACATTATCGTCATTCTATCATCCTACAACCATTTTTCAAATAAGTATATATCAAATGATGCAGGCACAAGCGGTCGCTTTGATTTCTTTTACTTTATGGTTCAGGCCTTTTTTGAGAGAGAATGAGCGGCAAACGATTTCCCTGAATACAAACAAGATCATTAGCCAATGAGATCGCGCGTTTTGTCTCACGAAAAAAAAGATATTGATTAATTCATATTTTTGTCGTACTTGTAGATGACTTCACAAACAAAGGAACGTGTGGACTAAAGCCATGGATCAAGCGTGGATGCAGAATCGCCCTCGACCACTCATTGACACTTCAATTTGACATAAGGGAACAAGAAAAAAACAACATCGACTGGAACAATCTTCACCCTTGGTTGACGAAGTATGTACAGCTATTTACTTTCCAGTATTTAACGTTCTTTTAAAAATTAAGAAAACTGCGTACTATTTTGATTGGCCTTTATGTCCTCTTAAGGGCACGCTCTTGACGTCATTCTTGACGTCATAAAAATGGCTATTTTAAAAAATAGGCAGATCATTGTTTACAAAATTTTCCTAATTAGCATAAAGTTTAAATTAGAAAAAAGAACTGTTAAATAAGTTCATAACGTAAAAGGGCTTATTAAGAACTATAAACTATGAAAGTTTGAGGGTCTTTATTAGAGTTCAAAGATGCTGATTGGCAAAAGAAGGAAGGGCGCCACATTTGCTTGTGAGATTGTCAACAATGTAACTCAAAATCCCTTTCCCAGGAAAAATTTTCGTATAAGAACAGTTATTTAGAAGAACAGACCCACTTCGGCTTCTCCTGTTATCTTCCAATAATCATAGCTTATTTCTCTCTTTTGCAGTTTCGCGTGCAAGTGCCGTCAAAAAGCTCTTGATTCGAAACACACTTTTTTCGGTCTTGGAGACTATGGCCTGTGCTACTCTGGAACCGGATTAAATGAATACATTGAAAAGTAAGATCATCCCGATGTTTATTTTCCCAAACAGGCAGTCAGATAGTAATTGCTCAATAATGTTAGCTATGGCTCGTGTTACCCAGACTGCGTAGCATCATAGCAATCGTGTTCTTGAAATATAAAAAAATATACCCTTCTATTTGATGTAGACATCCACTTGCTCCAGAAGGTAGCTGTATTGGCGTTCTCAAACATAACCACACGGTCGTCAATGAAAAAACCGGCGAGGTTTGCTTGGCTGGATACTCGAGACTCTATCTATACCAGGTATGGCAATCGAATGTTTAAAAATATGTACCCCCGTCTTTTTAATTGATTAAGAATTATACAATAATGGTTGAAGGATTCACGACTCCAAACTTAACACTCCAGTTTCGAATACTATACTCCAGTTTCGAATTGATAGCGAAAAACCGCTGCTTTATTTGACTACAGATTCTCTTGCGCAAAGACCTGACCAAACACAAAAGGGAGCACGAAAAAATTTCGTTTTTACAACAGCCTTAAAACTTTGAATTTTCCCCGAGTTGAGACTAACCCTGTGTTCCCATGAGACCTAAGATTTGCGCCTTCTGGGAATACAGGGTTAGCCTCAACTCGGGTAAAATGTAAATTGTCAGCGCTATTGTACGTAAAACATTTTCTCGTGCTTTCTTTGTGTCTGGTAAGTTCCTTGCGTAAGAAAATCTGCTGTCAAATAAGACAGTGGTTGGTCGTAGTAGAGTATGGAGTATTCTCTTTTGTGCAAGCCTAGCTTCAACAAATCATAAATTTTTATTGTCTTCTTTTACACAGAGTGTTTGCATTACAGTAGATTCTATGCTGAATTGAAGAATATATCACATGCTTTCGAGGTTAAGGCTGCACAAATAAGATCTTGAAACTGGAGTATTGAATTCCCTCAGCATGTTGTCGAAAGCGACATATAAAAAAATACTATGCACCATTATCAATCAAGTGGACAGTGTTATTCTTCAGGAGGAGCCGACGGGGGTCTGGTTCTAAATAACTGTTCTTGTAAGAATTTTTCCTGGGATTTTGAGCTACATTGTTGACAAGTAAATGTAACATAAATTGTGTTCCTGGCAAACGTTCTTAAGTCAAAAAGACTCATATAACGTATTTATGGTCAAAAACGGCTCATATTTTCTTTTATAGTTAGGAATTTGTTTATTTCCTGGCAAACATTCTTAGAAAGTCATATTCCTTTGCCTGGAGAGGTCATTTCTCCTGAATTTCTCGCTGGCAACCAGTTGTGGCTTCAGTTTTTAGGTTTTATTGTACATTTTAAATCATGTTAGTTTTTTCGATAAAAACATTGTAAATATATCTTGTAAAATCAATTTACAAAGTTTGTAAAAGGACATTTTGTCTGTAAATTGAATAATTTACAGTAAATTTACAGACTTTTCCAGTGATCAAATATCTTATAGTATTTGATGTGTTATTTAATCAATAATACTATTATAGATCGTTACCGGTGCTGAGAATCCCATGAGTACAGAAGGCAACAATGAAGGAGAACAAGTTGTAGACAAAAGTAAGTATTGCACTGTTTTCAACACTATCAACTACTTTGAAAAGTGCTTATATGTACAAAGTAATTATGTTTAAAAAATAAAAATGAATAAATATTGAGGCCTTGACATTATAATTTTTAAAATCACATTATGATGTTAATGGATTTCATATCCTTCCAAGCGTCTAAACACAAATTCAAAAAAAATCTAGCTTAAAATTTTAAAAAAAGGCGAACAACTCAGTAGATTTTAGCTTATGCASTATATATCCTTCTATTTCAAAAGGTCGTCGGGCGTAAGTTTGGAAAATCGCGACCGAAAGCTAAATTTTCGATAATGGTGCGTTTGGTTATTTTAGTAGATGTACACTAAAAATTGAACACCACTGTAGTTTTCGATCGTAACATTCTCTCGAGCAACGTTTATTGAAATAGCTTTACAGCGTTTTAAAAAAGTTCTTTAAATTTTATATTTATATGAAATTCCTCTTTGAAGTAGAGATTTCTAAATATTTTTGTTGATATGTCATCATGTTAACTGTTAATAATAAATTAAATTATGAGAATTCCTTTGATTTTCTGGGGATGATAGACCCTAAAACTATAAGAATGTTTGCATGCTTCTTCTATATATGTTACTTATGATGTATCGTCATTTATAACAGTCTGTACATCCAAGTCAGACATCATCATCGCTGTAGACGCGTCAGCTAGTCTTGACACGGAGTTTCCAAAAGTGAAGTTTTTTTTGAAGAAGCTCATCAGTCGTTTTGAAGTTGGCAAAGGGACCGACAAATCGAGGCTCAGTATTTTGTCCTTTGCTGATAAGGCTAACTTACTAATGTCCTGGGCGGATAGTCAAGTTCTTACCAAAAGCCAAATCAACACTGTAAGTTTAATACATTTTCAAAAATTTGCAATGCGCAGCGACGCCATATTTAAATTCAAACCATGACGTATAAGTGCTACAATCGTATGGAAAATAAACGGATCACCCTGCMCCTTTTCCCCACTGCAAGGTTGTTCACACGTTCCTTTCGCCTCCTTGTCGATTTTGTAGCGATTCATTGACGAACATCATTGTAAAAGGGGAGGGGAGATTGTAGTAAAACAATCTTGGACAGTGTTTCACACAATTATGCAAAAGATTGTAGGTGGTGCTATATATATATATAGGATCGTTTCAGTGACTTGTCCCCATAACGACACAAAGCCACCATACTCGTACCCAGTCGTTTCTCTTATTCGTTTTACGCTGACTTCCCTTGATCCTTTGCGCGCGACAAAGAATAAAACAAGAGTAACGACTGGGTACGAGTCTGCAAAGCCACTGAGCCATYATGCATGACGTCACCAGTTTTAACTTCTTTAAGGTCTGACCTGGCTTTGGATTAGTATTACATGTCAGACGTAATGTGTTTTGTAGGGTCGTTTTTATTCCTGCAATAAAAATGAATATTTGGTTACTATTTCTGATAAAACTACTAACCATTGGCACTTTATTTTTGCAGTTAGTCGACAAAATGCCCTTTGCAGGCGGAGGTACGGCCACATACGACGCCATAAAAATGGCAGTGAATGATATCATCAAGCCATTCAGACGAACAGGCGTCACACCGACCGTGTTTTTGATTACTGACGGTGAATGCTTCAGGGGAGACTTTATGCTTCCAGGTCCAATCAAACTACTGCGGGTATATAGAAGATTCTCTTGTATTACTAGCTTAAGTCTTTATTTTACAGATTCTGATAGCTTGGGATAATAAGGATGCATTTTTAAAAATCCGTATATTTTCGAAACAGAATTGTTTTTTAGGATTTATGCACTAGTCAATTGAAACCTTAGCCCCCCGACCCCCGGGGTTAGCGGGGCACTGAACGGGGACGTGACGGGTTTTTAACGGGATTTTGTTGACTTGTTTTCGAAACGGGGCAAAGAGCGGGGATTTTAACGCTCTTTTAAACATGTATGAGTCTGGAAACTAGACATCGGCCATCTTGAGAAATACCCTGAAGGCATCGGTATTCATCCCCGCTTTTTTATTTGTTTATTTTTCCTTGCATAAAAATCTTTTAAAAGAAACTTATTTCACACGTTTTTCTCTGTCCAGTAAACCTCATGTAGTACGCAAATGATTACACAGGATTATACAAAAATTAACCCTGTGTATCACAGAAAATTTGATTGAAGGTCGGTGTTTGTTTTGCTATTTGCTAGTAGACCAAAATAGCGGGGCAACAGTGGCGGGGATTTTAGCAATGAATGTGTCCCGACTACCGGGGGAAATGTCTTATTTTAACACCACTCAAACGTGAAATTCCCGGGGCGGCGAGGGGTTTCAATTGACTAGTGCATTAGTGCTATCAATTACAGAAAAAAACGAGGGGAAAAAATTACCGTTTCCGAAAAGGAAAAGATTATTGCTTCGCGTAAACACATATAAGAATACGCGTATATAAAGAAAACAGCGATATAAAACGATATAAAACCAGACGCTTAAGACTACGTTCACACGGGGCCGGTCAAGTTTGAGGACACCTCGGCTTTAGGACAGTTCCCACTGTTCACACGGAACCGTCAACTTTTCGGTACGGATTGAAGCAATGTTAACACGCATGCGTTCATGCATCGAAGTGACCTGTCCTCAAAGTGGAACGGCTTTTTAGCCGGCCCCAAAAACCTGAACACTTTGCCAGCCTCAGATGAGGCCATTTCCAGAGTTCCAGTGTGAACGCGCGTCTAAACTAGAACGGTTCCGAACGGAAGCGGCCCCGTGTGGACGTAGCCTAAATCTACTCCCCCCGGACGTGGTCCATTTAAACAGGAGTCTCCCGCCTTTCAATTCAGTGACCAGAGAATACTAAGACCTACTAAGACTGAATGGCATTTTGGCTATACAACTGATCATCACCTAAGCGAGCGCATAACTAGGATCTAAAACAATACCTTATACACAGAAAGTTTGCCTCCCTTTTGATCCTACCTTCTATGATGTGACCCTTTTGAGCCTGACTGACGCTTTTGTTTGTTTGTTTCTTTTTTACATGTATTAATTGCATATATCATAACGTATAAATATTTTGATAACAGGAAACAAAAGCCAGAGTTATTGCTATTGGCGTTGGTGATGCCAACAAATATGAATTGAAGGATATCACTGGCGACGAACGTTTGGTCCTTTTTTACAAAAATTTCCAAAACATTCTCGACATGGCAGCAACTATTCTGAATAAGTTAGTTGTGGAAGCTTGTGTCTAATAAAAGGTTAGATCTATTTGCTTAGGGCTTCACTATTGTTCATCTATTAACTTCCGCTTTATTTGTTTTCATTTATTTGTTATTTATTTACTCACTTGTTTATTCCCACATTGAATTATTCATTCAATCATTTGTTTGCTCATCTTATTCCATTTTTATTCATTCTTCATTCGTTCATTTGCTCATTTATTCATCCATAGAATCATTTCATCTATTTTTCTTTTCTTTCGTTCTTTCTTTCTTTTATCTATTCATCCATTCAATTTCCATTTTTTTGGTTCGTTATTTAACAGCTTATCGGCTATTTGCTGATCATTTTATACTAAATGCATGACTGTATTTCTTCTTACTAGATCATCAACAGAACAGGAAAGGGACCGGCAACGAAACAAACGAATCCATGGACAACACTTATACTTAACCTAAATGATAAAATTAACTATGTAGCGGAAGTGAGCATGCTATGGCACGTGATCATCTGGTCACGTGGTTAAAACGATTTAACGTTTTGAAGAGTCCATAATCACCTCTTTGTCTAACTAGGAAGAAACATAAATAAATGTCAAATTGTCAAAGCAAAATTGTTGTGAAAGTTTTGAAAGATTAATGGATGAAATGTCTTTAATCTCGCCGAACATCTAATGACGAGAAAAAGGCCCCGGCATTGATTAAGATTCAGCTATACATTAAGTCGTATTATTCTTCATTACCAAAATAATATTCCAAATGTTCTCAAAGGATTGAGCAACACGAAGACTTCTTTCGCATTGGCTGTCTGATTATGTTGAGCTTCGGTGCAGCATCCGCGGTCCTTCGAGAAGATGAACTCGGCTCTCTACTTTGTATTTTCTTCAAAAGCTTTGGCTTGTCTTTAAGCTCCCGTCTCAAAATCTTCCCGCTTAAAGACCTTGGGATTTCGTCCACGAATTCCACCCCACCGCGGAGTTTCTTATAAGGTGCAACATTTTCCTCGACAAACTTGATAATGTCATCTTTAGAGATGTTGCCATTGGATACCACGTAAGCCATTGGTAACTCCCCAGCTTCTTCGTCAGGGATACCGACGACAGCAGCGTCGGTGATTTCTGGATGAGATACAAGAAGTGACTCTAACTCAGCAGGAGGAACCTACAATCAATGCAAACAGAGTTTTTAGTTGAGGAGGATACCAAGCTCGTGTCAACACGAAAAAATATCATTTCAAAGAATTGCCTCAGAAAAGTTGTTCTTCGTTTGGCAGACATATTTAGCAATCTTGTACGTGTGAACTGATTTTTGGTGATTTTCTCGATTTTTAGAGCTTAAAAACGTCTTAAACTTGCAGATATCATAGCGAAAACACTTCTGAACAATCGGCCATTTTGTTTGTTTCCAGATATGGCATGGATTCGCTAAAGGGAGCCCGAAACTAAAATGCACAGAGATCCTGCAAGAATGAAAAATGAAAAATACCTGGTATCCTTTGTACTTGATAAGTTCCTTCACTCTATCGACAATATAAAAGCATTCATCTCGATCATAATGGCCGATATCACCAGTGTGCAGCCAATTGTCTTTGTCAATAGTGTTAGAAGTGGCTTCGGAGTTGTTCAGATAACCTAGAAAATACAAACAGATGCTTTGAAGCGTTCCGTGATATTCAAATATGATATTCACTTTCTCAGCAAGCGACTTGAAGGTGTCAATTTATAGCAAAAGCTCAGTTTTTGCTCATAATTCCCATTTGAGAATAGGCTTTGCAGCATGGAGCTTTCTATAAATCAATGTGAAATACTGTATCTGAAAAAAGTCTGTCATGGTCGTAACCTCGGTGGTACACGGGTGTTTTTAGCATATACGGACACTGCGCAAATTTTCGTAGTAATATAGGTATCCGTAATGTAGAGGTTTCTGTAATATAGAGGTGTCCGTAATGTAGAGGTGTCCGTAATGTAGAGGTTTCTGTAATATAGAGGTGTCCGTAATGTAGAGGTGTCCGTAATGTAGAGATTTCTGTAATATAGAGATGTCCGTAATGTAGAGGTGTCCGTAATGTAGAGGTTTCTGTAATATAGAGATGTCCGTAATGTAGAGGTGTCCGTAATGTAGAGGTGTCCGTAATGTAGAGGTATCTGTAATATAAAGGTTTCCGTAATGTAGAGGTTTCTGTAATATGGAGGTATTTGTAATATAGAGGTGTGTGTAATGTAGAGGTATCTGTATTATATATAAACTGAAAATCGCCATAATTAATTTTATCATATGACCCGTATTTCGGCCCTACGCGCGCTCTCACTGAAACCTTTGGAAAATGGTCACGTGATGGGGTCCGTACACCTTTTCGCGACAGGTCCGTACAAACCCGTATTTTCCCGGCTTGAAGTTCCGCGCGCTTTTATTTATTTTTTTTTTACATTAAAAAGCCCTGTCATATGATAAAATGCTTATTGACTGAGTTAGGTCGGGCCGTACGGGAAAATATTTGGCTCTCGGTCATTTGTACGGACCTCGCTGCGCTCGGTCCGTACGGCATAACCTCGAATCAAATATTTTCCCGTACGGCCCTCCCACTCAGTCAATAAGTACATAGCATTAATGGATCATCTTACTGGTACTCGCTTAATATGACCAACAATGCATTAATACGACCACTTTGTATAGCCGCCTTCACGGGGTTTCACTATACTTTATTACAACGTACCTTTCATTACGATCGGTCCACGAACGCATATCTCGCCGTCAATCCCGGCTCCAACTGTCTCCCCCGAGGTTATRTCAATAACCTGTTATAAACAATTGAGCTTGTTAGAGAGCCTCCAACATATACGATCGAGAGGAATAGTCTCCTTCACGGTTCCCGGYGCCATCTTGAAAGGTAAACGTGCCTTTACATCAACCGTGAAGAAGACTATATTGTTAAATTGTTGTACGTCGTGACGTCGCTAAAGAATGACCCATCTTCAATATTCTGGTGGAGGGGAATCAAGAACTATCTATTGTATCCCATGAGCCTCTTCTTCATCTCCTTTTGTCAATGAAGCGAAAAGCAAAAGGTGAGCTGCCGATGGCGTAAATACCTTGCATTCCAAATTAGGAAGTAGGTGTCCCACAGTTCCATGCTTTGTGCTTGACATTATAGTCATGTGACTTACTGGACTGAGCTCAGTCATCCCGTAACCTACAAGTAAAATTATTGGACGCAAAAGTACAATTTTAGAGAATCCTAAATCGTATTAAACTATAGTAACTTTTCACATGCTATGGATTTCAATAGTATTGGAGTTTCTCATCAAGTGATATCTCGAATAATCAGGCAATTAATTAAATAATTGCTATAGGATTCGTACCTTGTCGAATTACTTTCATATGAGGTAGCCTTTTTAGGACCTCTTTGGAAACTTCCCCTCCTAAAACGGCTGCTCCCGATGTGATCTCAATCAAACTAGATAGGTCATAGCTCTGAAGAGATGGATCTTTGGCAATCATAATGGCAACAGGCGGTACTACGGCTACATGGGTTACCTAGAATTTTAGAATGAGGCTTAGAGGAAACTATTTTTGATTCTGACATAGATTGTGATCTAAGTGAAGATGAATTAGGCCGAGGAGAAAAGCACTTCCACTTGTACGTATGAACGTAGCAAAGGAAACAGATCGAGAATAACAAATGAAAATGCTCCTGCCTTCCTTCTCCGCCACCACGATCATCAAGCTTCACAAGTGAGATTCGTCCTTTAATAGAGCGTTTGAATGACTGACCTTGTGACCCTGTAAGATGGAGAAGAAATGGTCGCGTTCAAACTTAGGAAGGCATACGATGGTACTTCCTCGGCACAAGCCAATTGACAACACAGTCACCAAACCATATGTATGGAAAAAGGGTAAAAATCCAAGAAGAACAGAAGACGTCGAGTATCCAATGAAACCTTCAGCACTTGCTATGGATGCATCGGCAACTAAATTATAATGTGTGAGTTGCACACCCTTCGGAAGCCCCGTGGTCCCGCTGGAGAAGGGCAAAAGTGCTGGATCATCTTTTGGGTTGACGTTKGCCRTTTGAAAGCTGCTACCATCATCCTCAAAAAGAATTGAAACGGACATAAAGCCGTCTGCTTTTCCAACCACGTACAGATGTGCGATGCCATTCGTTTGGGCGCTTTCTTTGGCGCGGTGAGTAAGTTGAGGCGTTGTTACGAGGAATTTTGCTTTTGCTAGCTGAAGTTGATGAGACAATTCATCTTCAGTGTAAAGAGGATTTGCAGCCGTGACAACACCACCAGCGTGAATAGCCGCCAAGTAGATGATGGCAAATTCAGGGATGTTAGGGCAGAAGAGGCACAACACATCACCTTTCTTCATACCAATTTTGATCAGAGCAGAACTTGTACGTGTAATTAAGTCTTTGAGCTGCCTGTATGTATAGAAGCGCTCACGTTTGACATCAGTCTGCAAATATGAATACATGAACGCATAAGATCAATAGGGGAAATCATTGGATCTTTCAAACACTTTAGATCCACTTACAAGGGATCAGTTTTGAGTGCTTCACTCGAACATTCGAGCTCGCGTACTCGCGTATTACAAAAGCTACTTAGTTTATAAAAACTAACTACTACTGAAATAACGCAAAACCAAGAAAATTCTTCACATGTATTTCATCTCTGACCTACAAGAGTGAGGAGTGAAATCAGACAACGGAGAAAATTTGATGCGAAATACACAACCGAAGGTTTGGTATTTGGACTAACACTATAGGATGAAATATCGTTGTTTTTTTGTTTTTTTTTTGTTTTTTTTTTTTAATATCTACTTACCAATGCAAGCTTGTCGCCAAAAGAATCAAAATCTTTCATCAAGAACTCCGTCCATGACATGCTGTCAGGAATCTCAACATCTGGATATTTACTCCTCAAGACATTCACATCTCTCTTCTGTACGATTTCTTGTAATTGAGGAGATTGGGCTAGTTCCTTGTCTTTAAGCTCTCGTCTTAGAATCTTGCCACTTGCCGACTTGGGAATTTTCTCAATGAAGGCAATCCCTCCTCTTAGCTTTTTATAAGGAGCAACTTTCTCGTGAACAAAGTCTGCAAGTGCTTCTTCTGTGATGTCTCCTTTTCGGACGACAAATGCTTTAGGAAGTTCGCAAGCTTCTTCGTCAGGTATTCCAATAACAGCTGCATCGGCCACGTCTGGATGGGAGAGAAGGATTGCTTCAAGTTCTGCAGGAGCTACCTACGTTTATGCAAAATATGCCATTAAATCATACAAGCAAGCTGTATATGGTCTTGTAGTCCAGTTATGCCGATCATTTTGTTTAAAAACTTGTTTTAAAATTACTCACTTGCAATCCTTTGTATTTGATTAACTCTTTGAGTCGGTCGACAATGTAGAAGTTCTCGTCTTCATCATAATGTCCGATATCTCCTGAGTGGTACCAGCCTTCCTTATCGATGGCAAGTGAGGTGGCATAGTCGTTATTGAGGTAACCTGGTCGATAAACAAATATCATATGGTAAATAAACTGTAGTATAACGCACAATAATTGGACATACGCGTTGCTTTACGAGAATAGTGACCAAAAAATGGGAATGTTAAGTAATATATAAAATATGAGCGGGAGACCTTTATGTGCATTTAAAACTGCGAGCTGCAAGCGAGCAGTTTTATTGAGCCCATAATGGTCGGACGCGAATATTTTATATTGCTTATCAAATTCCAACATAAGGTAAAGCATATTTCGAAAAAAAAAATCAGGATAAAATATCATTTGTACGAGAAAATCGAAGTTAAAGTCGTATGCAAATCAGGACAAATCTCTTGCTCATGTAAAGATGCGATCACGGCAATGATTTTCCATTGTGTTTACCTTATGAATTATCAATGAATTTGATAACGTTATTAAACTGTAAAACCATGCCACAGAAAGCAAGTAGATTCCAATGTTGAATGTGCCGCTAAAGAATCCATTACAAATAATATAGGTTTTGCTTGCAAACTAAAAGTTGCATGGATGATAGAATTTACCCTTCATAACAATTGGCCCTCTAACACAGATTTCTCCATCACTTCCTTTGGGCAGAGTTTCACCAGACACAGTATCAACAACCTGAACAACATTAAAAATAGGATTTGACCAGTTACGAGCAAAATTGTGCAGTGCAACTTTATATGTAGTTCTTGAGAATACACTGCTTATTGCATGGATAGAAACTCTCTCACCTTGCACTCCAAATTTGGAAGAAGCACTCCAACGGAACCATAGTTAGTACTTTTGCCAAGAGGTGTAACGTGTGACACTGGACAAAGCTCAGTCATTCCATAACCTGGAAAGAATATAATCCAAACTTACCAGGAAATGTCTTTATCAAAGCAAAATCAAGACATATATGTGGCTGGTTTTTGTAGCACCCAGGCCAGTTGTTGTCACTTGTGTGTGGAGAAGTTCACCAGTACAATGCCGGTTAAATTACCCCTAAAGGACTCATTCGCATATGCATTTCCTTGTTTTTGCATCGAGACAATCAATTTCTATGGYCGATTAAACCAGCCCTTTTACCGGCCGCAGAGCAAATTTCATACCTTGTCGAAGCCATTTTAATTTTGGAAGACGCTCCACCAATTTTTTTCCTAGCTCCTCTCCCATTGGAGCAGCTCCACAAGTGATGTCAACCAGACTTGACAGGTCATACTGCTCTACCATTGGATGTTTCGTCAGGAATAGTATGATGGGTGGAACTAATGACGTGTTGGTGATCTGTTCAGATTAAATCAAGATTATAGAGCCGTGTTAAAGTTTGACGCTAAAAAAATCGGAAACAAAAGATAAAATTATTTTGGTCAAATGAAATGAAACACACGAATGCCTTTACTAAATTCAGTGCAAAACTCTCCAATTTTTTTTCTTTCTGGCGATCACCATCTAATTTTCATTGAAGTTGGTATATGTAAGATTAAGAACATGAGGTAAGCTTCAAAGGAACATTTCACCATGAAACAATACTTTTTAAAAGTTATAGTATTTGATCTACTGAATAAACTAGAACACTCGAATCCATTGAAATATATAGGTTGTGCGGCTAATGCCATACCTTGTGATCTTGGATAGCTTTCAAGAACGGCTCAGGCTCAAAACGAATAAGACAGACTACCTTCCCACCTCGAACGAAGACATTTGCCAGGTTTATCATGAGCGAGAAGCTGTGGAAAAGTGGCAGAACAGCCAGAGAACACGAGTCTTCGTTACAATCGTAAAAATTATCACCAATGGTAATACACGAATCCGCAATTAGACTATAATGTGTAAGCATTACGCCTTTGGGAAGACCAGTTGTTCCACTTGAGTATGGTAACGCAGCCAAATCTTCTTTTGGGTTAATTTCTGCTTCAACAACGGTATCATCAGCTGCGTCAAGAAGCTCAGAAAATGATTGACAGCCTTCTGCTTCTCCAATGACGTAGATATTTTCGATGCCAACCTTGGCAGCAGCGTCTTTCACTTTATCTGCAAACGACGGTAGAGTTACTATCCACTTTGTCGCTGAATCTTTGAGCTGGTGTGCAGCTTCCTCGACTGTATAGATGGGGTTCATAGTAGTTACTATTCCGCCAATACTAATCACTCCAAAATATAAAACAGGAAAGTCGGGGATGTTAGGACATATAATAGCCAAAACATCGCCTTTTTTGAAGCCTTTCTTGGTAAGACCAGAACCAAATTTGTGCACGAGGTCTTTGAGTTCTTTGTAGGTGTAGCTTTTTTCATTATTTGAATCAACCTATTAATAATGATCATAATTATTTTTGTCTACACCTAACAACAAAAAAAGTTTTCAAACAAAAATAACTTTTACAGAGTTTAGGGATTAATACCGCTCCAAAAGAAAGTGTTCAGCTTCAGTGGTTACGTATTGCTTTTGATGTACTCTTACAGCAGAAACCGTTGCATCGCGACTTCAATGTTCAAAGGAAACAGTTGAGATTTAGGTTTTTCTGCGAGTTGGATGCGGAGCTTGATACTAATCAGCCAATGATTGAACGAGAATTCGAAAATCTGCGCCCCTCAGATTTAAAGAAAGAACAAAATCCAGACAGACTTCAAAACAAAGAGTTCGCGATGCAACAATTTCCGCTGTAAGTTCCTAAATCCCTAAATGACATTGTTGGATCGAGGACTTTCTTCATGGAAGGCTGTAGGAAGGTGCACATCAGAAAAAGCGTTTTCGCGAAGGAGGCACAGAGTAAGAAAAAGTATATGAAGGGTACAATGGGCCGGGAAGTTGCACTCTATCAACTGGGAATCCGTCAACGATACATACTTCATTGTGAACTTAAAGAATTCCAACCAACCACAATGCAGCGCCCGCTCGTGATATTGTTTACAAACATTTAAATGCGTTAAGCATTCAATAGATTATAGATTGATAGTAACTGTGAGGTACTTAGTTAAAGGTATTTCTGTCCAAACTTAAAGGATAGAAGACGATTCGCAATCCTACGAATCCGCCATTTTCGTACCCACTTAAAATAGCGCTTCGGCTCGCAAGCCGCACAGCAATTAAATGTATATCTCTTATAATGGTTGCAACCCACAAATGCCTCCCCCGTCCCTCTCCAGTATATTTGGATTTAATATTTAAATATGAAACATTCATGTGATGAAATGTGTCAACTTGTCAACCGTGTTATGGCTGAAACTATACAAAGTCAACCATCCTGCTGTCACGACAAAAGTGTCCCCCTGTTCCTTGTTCAATGTGAATAGCAATAGTTCAGTGTGAATAGACTACATGACCTACACTCGAAATCCCATGCTGATCATTGTTGCTATGTACTCGTTGTTTACAGATAAACACTGTCGTCCGTTCGTAAAAACTATTGAATACTGTTTTTCCCCTCAGTTTTATATGCCTGTCATGATCAAGACAACGTGATTTAGTTTTTAAATTTATATCTAAAATGAACCATAACCGGCCACTTTCCATGCCAAAATAAGCATGTTTTGCCAAAACACCACCAGAAAAGAATATGTCTATTGTAAACGAGTGTCATTATTGAGCAAAATAACTATTACATATTTAGTTAAAAATTTCCCACGGCAATTTTGGTCAATAATTGATCATTATTGWTAGCTGAACCAGTATTTATAAGATTTTGTACGCTCTGGTACCCTTTATTAAATGAGCTTGCTTTATTACAATTTGCACCCTTAGGCTTATAAGCTGTCAGATTGTAAGAAGTGGATAATATTTTTGAGAAAGGACTTTTTAATAGCATCCTTTAGGTTTACCTGGATGGATTGCTGGCGTCTTTAAATTCTGAGCAGCAACTCGCAATTTTTATCGATATTTGATTAATTAAACCATTGGACAAATTAATTCCTTGAGTAACTTTGTAATTAATCGATATTTAATTGATCAAGCTGAAAAATCTCAGGGTAAATCGCCGAAAACAAACTTAAGCAAAAATCTGAAAACTTCAGTACTCAAGCACTTATAATATTCATCCCATCAATGTCATRTTTATACGATGGCTAAATATTAACCATGAATCAACAGGTGACTGAACTGAACTAAGAGATACTTCTATAGCAGGGCAGCTGTCACATTATAACCTTCAAATAGATACGATAAGTACTTTTACGAATCTATAAAAAAAAAAGACTGACCCAAAGGCAGAGATTAAACACTTCATTCGTCGTAAAACTTACCTACCAAAAAACCCTCATCACATTTTATGCATTTGTGCAATCCCAAACATATAAGATTATTTTGGACATATAAGATCATTTTGGACTTACAATTGCAGTTCTGTCACCGTACTTGTCGGCATTTTGTAAGACATACTGTGACCAAGAAAGKTTTTCGGGTATTTCAACGTCAGGCCATTTACTCTTCAACGCCATGCTTCAATTACTGCTGATACAGACCTGTGTAYAAATCCAAAATCGACTCTAATAATATGGGGAATTCACAATTGTGCTCCTGTATGCGATGATCAATTTGACAGCAGTTTAAAGTAGTTTAACAATTAAGCGGCGTCAATTTCGACGCCTTTGGGATGTTGTAGAGGTTGTGATGTATTGTTTGCAATCACCTTGAGAATTCAATATGATCAAGGTACTYAGGATTTGCATTTATTTRAGAGATTGTTTACATTGTTTCCAAGGGAACTGGGTTCTTTCACTGCACTGATGCGAAACGAAAAATAAGGACACATCACGAAATGGCATGCGCACTAACCTTTGAGACCCAGTTGTTGATGATTTCATACACCATTTTCGAGTTCAAAGCGGATAACCGCGGATTTATTTGACAGCAGTTTCTTTTGCGCAAAAGCCTTACCAKAAACAAAAGAAACCATGAAACTGAAATGTCGTTATTACAATAGCCTTGAAAATTTATCTCTAATTTACGCCTTTTTGGAATACAGGGTTAGCTTAAACTCGATCGGAGAAATTGCATATTGTAATTATAGGACTATTGTATTTACAACATTTTCTGGTGGTTTCTTTTGTTACTGGAAAGGCTTTTGCGCAAGAGAATCTGTTGTCATATGAAACAGCGGTTATCCGCTTTGATCTTGAAAATGGAGTATTCTGTATTTTGGGCTTGTTTTATGTTGGATTTTGGGCTTATTTTAAGTCGAATGAAAATCTCACATGAATGATAGAATTTGCTTTTATTGATATTTACCACGACTGGTTTAAATTGATTTTCATTATTTTACTAATAATTTATAAAGTCACATTTGAGCACACTACAGCTAGTATATTTACAAATAAACATTTTCAAATTTATATAAAAATTACAATTGTCAAATTAATCAGTGATCAACAAATCACGTGACTCGTGAAGTCGTGTTGAGGCTGCGGCAAATTCAGGGAGACCCTTTTTATTTATTTATTATTTATTTATTTATTATTTATTTATTTATTATTGCAAAAGAAATTTGGGACAAAATCGCATCACAACGTTTGTAAATTGAAATAGCGAAGAATTATTTTATAGTCGTAATTCCTACAAAACTGATAATAAGCATAGCATCACGTGAACATCACATGACCGAATAGCACGTGATCACGACTGGCATATGATGCGATCATGTGACGTTCACGACTAAGAAACTTAAATGAATAAACAAAAAAAAAACTAAACTAAAAACAAAACAAAACAAAAATGATACAAAATAGAAATTATTAGAAAATGAAAGCAAAAATAAAAATCTGCGGACAAATAAAATAATAATATAAAAAGAACAGTTAACGAGAAAATAGAAAAAAAAAGAGAAATCAAGGGATGAATTCGTTTTACTACTGTTAGAAAAAAATCTGTATCTGTAAAATCTGAGGAGTTCAGGCCATGATACATTTACAGAAAGCAGTAAATAGGTTGATTTTATAAATCATATTTGAAATCTGCCAAATTACAGCCGCTGTCAAAAGGTTTACAAACCAAAATGAAGTCACGTGATTGATGACACATTGGACGGTTGACATGGAATTATGGGTATTTAAAAATCGCTGAAACATGACACGTGATACATATACATATGTTGTTAGTGTGTTGGATTTTCATATCCCGGTGAAATCTTTCGACTTGCCTACGACAAGTGGAGTCGAATGGCTTCTGGACTTGTCTATACGTGTCAAAACGTTTGTGTCGGAACGGTGAATATCGGTATGCACTGGATAAATCTTCGTCCAGCGGATAAAATCCATACAAAAACTATGACGTGGTCAGCATCATTTGGTGGAGACACTGGTGAAAAACGCACTACGCATGTCMACAGCTTTCCCGCTAAATCTTTCCTTTGTAAAGCGATTTTTTGAAAGTTTTTTTTTACAATTTATAAGCTCGTTCACCGATATATAAGATTCATATTTCCATCAATCATTGTTCATGATAGGTCCTTTTAGTATGTAGTTTCTATTTTTATCTTATCATTTCTATTTTGAGAAAATGAGGTTTTTCGTAGTGTTTTCTGTGTTGTCGCTGTAAATCGCCAGGCGCTCTGTTTACAGATTTCAAGACGCGAGCGCCCACTGGCGGGAAAGCTGTGGGCATGCGCAGTGCGTTTTTCACCAGTGTCTTTGGTGGATACTTCTATTCACCCTTCGTTCAAACCGTCGGCCCCTAATGTGGTATCATACTTAATTGGTTAAAACACACTGGTCAATATATTCAGTAATTAACTCTACATTTGAGTTATTAAAACATTACCAAAGTGGTTCGATAATAATTGTTATGAAATTTTTTGTWATGAATGTAATTCTCAGTATAAATCCCTTCTAATACGAACCTCTTGGAATCCCTGTGCTAATCTGGGAAACACAGGAAGCCCATAGTAGTTAGCGGGATACCTATGAAGAACGTTGTTAGTCCATTTACAGTTGKSCTTCTTTCGCAGCCGCCTCTATGTCGTCACGCGACGTAGTGACGTTAGTCTCGGATTGCCTCCAAACCAACCACTTTAGAAATAAACGCCTTTATCAGTGAACATCACTGGTTTTTCCGTATATGTTATTTCAGTATATGGTTGACCAATAATTTCATTTTCGGTAGAGTCTTTTAAGCCAATTTAACGAACGTCTTTAGTGCGCATGCGATGTTAAACCGCTGGTGCACTCGTTTATGTAAAGGCTGGTTTAGTCCTAATCAAAAGTCAGGATCGCAAGTGGAATCAGAAGGGTCTTGGCCGTATAGTGATAAAAACTGTTATAAATATCACATTAAAATTAGAAGTGCTCTGAAATTTGAAGCAGAAGAATGTGAAAACTGTTATCTCCCCTGCCATTATTGTTAACATCAGACCGAGGCTCCTGCTTCCGATTCTCAGTGCTTACGACAATCATTCATCTGTTTATGRATGCGTTTGCGATTCTGATACCGCTTGCGAATGAAACCTATCATTGAGCACAAGAGGACTAAGCCTGTAAAKGGACTCGTATATATTTTCTAATATTTCCTAGGATATAATCTGTATTCACTGTTCACCATTTAGACCCTCTGCATACATACTAGACTCTGATGACATCTCGCTTAACACAGYCGAAGTGGATTTATTTCGCCATCTTAGCGACAGCCGTCGTTTTTCTTGCCGTGCCACGCTATCACCAGTGCTCACGCGGTTCAATTCRTCCGGGACTGACATGGCGATAGTTGTAGTTAAATGCTCATTGGCTAMAATKTCAAARCAATATGTCAGTWAKYTAATAATAGAGGGATTAATGAGCCCAGTGCATGGTGCTTCAATAGACATGCAGTACTCTCTATTGCACTATGTCGTCATTGATTCACAATTTAGTCCAAATTTCTATTGTTTGCATCACATTTACCCCCACTGTGACGTTATAATGCAACAGAAATATCTTAATTCTGGTTAAAAGCTCATGCACAAAAGAATTGAAAACAAGACTCAGGGGAAATAAAAGAATTATCTATTGTTTCCCCTAAGCCTCGTCCTCAATAGTTTCCTTCACGGCTACCTGCGCCATCTTGAAATTTAGCCAACACTTTACATGGAAGCGAGACAGCCGATTAGCGTGCAATGATAGATACCTGTGAATAATTGTCTGTAGGTGTGAAAGAAGGTTTTTATCATTGCACACTCAACGGTCATCTCGCTTCGATGTAAAGGCACGGCTACTTTCAAGATGGCGCAGGTAACCGTGAAGGAGATTTTTCTCTTGTACGTGTTTCGACATACGAAAGAACGCAACCGGGCTATTACTAACGTTTTTTACCTTATTTTTACTTCAATTTTATTTACTGTTATCTTAAAAGATATACAGACGTTTCACCCACCCGCCACCCGAACACCGGGTGCACGTGACATCATGTGACGTCAATACGTCTTCGCCTCACCATTTGCTGCCCCCAAATCTATTGTGTTTTGACCAATCAACGACATTCCTGTACTCTTGGATCGATTGCGTATGGACGCTTCGTGTTCAAAACTRGCCGAAGCTGTTTGCATGCGTAATGATGTCTTGTGTTCAACCGCTGGCGTAGAAGGTCGACTGCTCGTGTTCGGTGCTGGACTGAAGCATCKTGAGGCGAATTCTTCAAAACTTGATAAATGTTTGTGATTTTTTACAATTGTTTGTATACTGTCGTAGCGTTCTTCGTAGCTGAAGCGCTGTTAAGGTCAAATTAGGCTTACAGATTTAAAGTAATCACTTTTATTGGGAAGTGATTCGGTATTGGAAAGTTTCACGGGACTGGAGAGATCGGAGTTTGAGCATTCCAGTATCGAAACCCCTACAAAATATCAATGTTATCAGCATTACTTAGCAATTCTCAATTTAGTATAATTTTCGATGAAAAGGATACCATCTCTCATATAAAGGCATCAATGACTGTCTTGCTTTACTAGCATTTACAGCAGTCGCCCTCACAAGCGATGGAAGAGCTCTTCTATTAACGATCGCTCCGTCAAACAACGGCCCGAAATGAGGGACCTGAGACATAAAGGAACAAAGKAAGAGTTAAACATTTTTGTCATGTATTTTGTGCACATGATATAGAAATAGAGGAAAGTTATAGTGTTTAGAACGAGGTTATTCAGGGAGAAAGACATTTATAATAAACTAAAAATAAAATAAATTTGGAAAAACTAACTTCCGACCTCGCTGATTTAACTATAACTTTCTTTTATTTTTCTCTATTTATCTCGTATCTCATAGTGCCATAGACTGGCAATTTTATTCGTTTCACAGCATTTGCTATACTTGTTTTCTGTTTTCTCGAGCATTAAAATCAACGTAAAAGCCTTAAATAGATTTTTCAGGGCGAATTAGTATGAACTCACCTCAGGTTTTTTGATAATATGTATTCTAAACAAATGATTTTTAAGTGGATATATAATGATGAGCACATCACCAAACTCGGTGTTCACGATGCCATATCGGTAATCCCGATTGTGCTCCGACCACACGATATGTACACCATCGTTGCCAAGGTGACGCATCTGAAATGACGAAGCGTGTGATGACATCATTAAGCTGGCTCGTCCCCAGTCGTCTCTCTCYCYMTYCATGATGCATTGCRAGKGAGGGAGGAGACAGTGGACAACACAATTTATCTCTATACAATAATTTCATAGTTCTATTATCGAAGTGAAACGATCAATGAGCAGACAATTGCCCTATTTCATAATGATGTCACAGTATTTTTACATCAGGGAAAGATGCTCAGAGACAAAGCAATTTGGATCCATTTATATTCTCTCCGAAAGTAAAACTTTAATGTATTCGATATATGTCATGTCTCAAAGATTGCTCATGTACATCTTATTTGATATGCAGTTATTCTGGCCCCATATGGCGACCATAATCCTTAGCATCAAAACAACAGAATGTTTTGATGTGACGTCATAATGAAATAGGGCAATTATATATACCTAATTGCACACAATTTAAACAATCATTGGCTGGTCATAATTTTGAAGAAAATCAAGTTTTTTGAATGTAGTGCACTCRATCCCATATTTTATCGCATGYAATACGATGCGATTGTCGAAAGCGACTTACGACTTTCAGCTACACACTTACTTTCTTAGTGAAGCCCGTGCCGTCTGTAGCGAGAGGCATACGAGTTGATACATGGAAGATGACTTCTTGAGTGGATGTAGCGTAGTACGGTGCTGTAGATCCTGTGGAAAGGTTGCGTTCTAGTCCGCCCAGAAACCCTGTATGCTTTGATAAATCAACCTAGAAATATATACATGGGTACAGTCAGAGACCAAGCGAAAATGTTGTATTTACTATAATAAAAATGACCTCCACATCTTTAACAATATTATTGCCAATACGGCCGGTCTTTTTCGTATGAAATTATTGGATGCCTGGGACACTAACCAATGCATTTATAGGATGATTATTTTACAATACGAATAGAAACTGTGAATATAATCTTACCTCCCATCCAAGTCCAGCAACAAAGTCCTCGTACGCTTGACTACCAGCGTTGTTTTTCATTATGGACGTTTTGTCTTCTTGGCCATCAGCGACATACAGTACTGCAATTTTATGCGTTTCACGACTGAAATAGACACATCAAATCCGTGAAACAGAATTAACGGTAAGCTTAGTTATTATTTTAGTCAGATGCGAAGTCGGATGTGACCTACCATCGTCTGCTGTCGAGGTTCTTCAATTCGCGTAAAAATCGCTCGTTTCGATTCAACAAATCGACTCGATTTCTAAATGGATAAAAATAACAATGAAATATTTAAAGCATATGCTACCATCATTMAAGAAATACAAGCTTTGAGACTTTTCTSGTGTCTTTTTCAAGATTACAAGCATCCTAATTAACCGGTGGTGTTGTAACAAAATCTTCGACTGCTTTGATAATAATAAATARCTGTTGATTGACATCGACTAAAGGGAAATGGCCAAGTAGCATTTTAACRACGAARCCGTAGACTGCGTATTGACTTTAAAACTTAACAACGCTGGGAATAACGAAATRAAATCCTAATAAAGACACCATATAATACTTAGCATATTATATTATAAATATTATTAGCAAAGCGAAATTATGAAAATGTTCTGAAGGACGGGGACATTACCTTTTTTCCCAAGCCATGATTCCATGTTCGCTGATCAGAAATCTACAAAGCTGAAACGGTGAGCTTGAGTCGATATGAGATGTTGGACGGAACGCTGATGCTGATACACTGCAAATTAAATTATCAAAAAGAGGTAGTTTTAGCGTTAATATTTATGTTATTATCATTCACCGACACGAACTGAATCATAAGTATATAACAGCCGCCATCTTGAATTTTGCGTTGCTCGTTATTCTGAGATGCACAAGCGCATATGATTACATTTACTGTAAGTCAAACGTACTTCCAAATATGGAAAAATTACCAAATATGGATATGAATTGATGGTCATGCGTGCAAAGGAAAAATCTACAGAAAACAAGTGGTCTATTCATCTACAAGGACTTATTTGACTTGAATTCAACTCTTGGCACAGTAGAGGTATAAAGAAACATTTTAAAAAACCTTTTGCCACTACGTAATCATTACCCATGATACATTTTGTACCATCGACTTTCTCTGTAAACAAACTGCCTTGTTTAAAGAAAAACCTAAGCATTCCCATAATACACTACTCACCTATTATCTGACACGTCATGATGATAGTCAAGCTCTGCCTGGAATTGCTGAGAAACGGACTCGATAACTGAACTTTCCATATAASGACTGATCAAGTGGCTGGATGGTGATGGCTCGTTCAGTGATTGGTCAGGATAAAGAATACATTCACGGCTTGTTAAGCCGATGTAACTTAAAGCCTTAAAACGCAGAAAAAAACTTGTTAAGTAAGGAGGTTGCGAATATGGTACAAATGGCTTAATTTCAGAACGGACRGCATCCGTAATAGTGAGAGTTAACCGTTCTAAGTTAAGTAGCCATTGTAGAGTGTGTTTAAGAGTTGTCTAGTACCTCGTCCAGTCTATCAGGAACAATGGGTGTGCTATCGACTCGTAGTTCTCTTAGCATACGCTTTCTTGAAACCTTCTGAGGTTCACTTGGTACTGGTTCGACTTCAACAGTCAGTCCTTGCAATAAACCTAAACACAGAATACTTAACTTGTTATCGGCTATACTAAAATGAAAGGGGCAAAAGAAAAAGGCAAGCTGCGATGGCGGCAATTTCCAGAARCACATCATGATGGAAACATAGTCCTCCCACTTTTTTCCAGTCTCCTTCGCAGCCTTCCCTTTTGTCGGTCTTCCTGTTCCTTCTTCTTCCTGTTCCTCCCGAAAGAAGGGACAGGAAGCCCGACAAAAGGGGAAGGCTACGAAGGAGACTAACTTTTTTTATGTGCGCAAAATAGGTTTTAAAAAAAGATTTTGTGTCTCCCATAACTGAAGAAACGGTCAAATGGTGTGCATTGTTGCAAAAAAAAAAAAAAACACGACAAATGTTTTGTTGAGGATAATCCACACCGAAATAGAGTAATAGAAAAGTAAAAAAGCAGAGTAAATTTAAAGCATTGCTTTAGTGTAATTGAGCAATATCATAAATTTAATGATGTGGGAATATGTCAGAATTCAAGTGACGAAGCTATGTAGCGTTCACCTCATCCAAATGAACAATTAAAATTGTTTGATTGTCTAAATATAAGCATAATCTCAAGCAAAAACATCTTACCAGGGAAGGATGTTCTTTTCCCGCTATCATCGTTCTTGCCGTACAACAGTGTGTAGTCCCACGAGTGACGTCCAGTCATGTCACGCAATATTAACCTTACTTGTGTTTTGGCTGTCGTCATGTCATGAAGGACTGATCGATCTGAGGGAGTCTGTGGATTGTAAAATACGAAAAAAAACATAATTAAAAAAAAACTATAATTAACCGTTCATCTTGTTCAACCTTTGTCATGCAATTCTTTAACTCTGTCACGCATAGAACAGTAATAATCAGGCTACAGTTTGGGTTTATTACACAAAACATTAGTAGATTGAAGCTCTGGGTAGTTTGGCCCTCTTGTCATACATATACAGCCCTTAAATATATCACCAAACTACTGCGTGACACCATTTTSWGTTGTTGTGTGACTAACCTCTTTTTGTAACTCAATCAGCGTGACTAAGACACTATCGTTAAGACTGAAAAACTGAAAAATAATAACAAAATATTGATTTTTAAATTGTTTCAGATTAAAGTAAAATAAGAAATTCATACAAGGGCGATCAAGACTAAGCACGCCTTGCATTGCCATGCAGCGACGCCATTTTCTCCAGCAAAGCATGACGGTAGAATCATGAACTGTATGTTGTTCTCGCGTTATAAAATGCGCTAAAT